TAGGCTGAGGATTTTGTATGTCATCCTAGAGGTAATAGGGATTCATTGAAAACTCTTGAGTTGTAAATGAGGCAGATTTATGTTCTCGGAAAATCAACTGGGTGGTTTGGAATGGATTAGAGAGGAAAGAGATTGGAGATAAGGAGACTCTTAAGGGACTATTGCAGTGACCATTGCAGAGAATTGATAAGGATTTGAAGTATCAGTGTGAGTGAAAGGAAGGATACAGATTAGGAAAATGTTTTTAAAAGTTTTAAAGGCAAGACTTGGCAGCTGATTACAATATAGGGGTTAGGGAGAAGGAGAGTCACAAATGATTCCAAGATTATAAACCTAGGTGGCTAGAAGATGGTGCTGTGCACAGAAATGGGGAAGTTTGGAGAAGGGTTGAATTTTGGGGAAAAGATAATGAATTCTATTTTGGACCCATTGAGTTGGAGATGCCTATGGGATAACTGGGTTGAAATGTCTCAGGACTGGAGTTCAAGAGAAATGAGGGCTTTGGTATTTGGATTTGTGAGTCTTCTACTTAGAGATGACAATGGAGACCAAGGGAATGGATTAGATCACCATGGGAGAAAAATGTCTAGGACTTAGGGGATGCCCAGATTTAGTGGTCAGGAAGAGAAGGATGATCCAACAAAGGAGACTAATGAGTATAGTAATCTCTTGATTACTCTCTCTGCTATAAGTATTTCCTTTCTCCATTGAGTCGGTCAGTTGATTAACATTTAGTTAGCAACAACTACATGGCAACTTTGCCAGACATTAGGGATACAAAGGCAAAAGACAGTTCCTGCTCTCAAGTACCCCACAGTCTAATAAGATAGCTATATACAGGATTATTTGGAAATAATCAACAGTGGAAAGACAGTGGAATTAAAGGGGATTGGGAAATGTTTCTTGTTCTGTAAAAACTGGGATTTTAATTGGAACTGTGGAAGCCAGGGGAGATAGAAGACCAAGATGAGGAGGGAGAACATTCCAGGCTTGAGGCTAGCAAATGAAAATGCCTGGAATAGGGAGATGGAGCATCTCATTCAGCAAATACTTCATGAGATATGAGGTATAAAAAAACTGAATGGGGGCAGAGGAGGTGGGCAAGTTCTGAAGATGAGCTTTGAACTACAGAGGATTTTATATTTGATGCTAGAGATGATGGGGAACCACTGGACTTTGAGCAGGGTTTGACCATGATCAGAGCTTTGCCTTAGGAAGATCATTTTGACTGCTGAGGGCAGAAGGGACTAGAATGGGTAGAGTTACAGCAAGAACAACCAGCAGGTTCTTGCAATAGTCCAGACATCAGGTGATGAGAGCTTCTACCAGGGTGGTGGCAGTGTCGCAGGAGAGAAGGGAGAGTATTTTAAAGATACATGCTACCAAGGTAAAATTGAAAGACCATGGCAACATGTTGGATGTGGGGTGAGGTGAGAGTGAAGAGTCGAGGGTGACATCTAGGTTGCAAGCCTGATAAACTAGCTGGAGGGAAGTTGGAAAGAAGGGAGGGCATAGGAAGAAAAACGAGTTCAGTTTTGGACATGTTGAGTTTGAGATGTCTATTTAGTCCATCCATTTAGTCTTGACGTCCAATAGGCAATTGGAGATAGACTGAAGGTCAGTGGAGAGGTCAGTGCTAGATGAGTAGATTTGAAAGTCATCAACATAGACATGGTAGCTGAATCCATAGGAGCTAATGAGATGACCAAGTGAAGTAGTACAAAGGAGAAGAAAAGAGGGCCCTGGACATAGTCCTCTGGAAAACGCACTGTTAACAGATGTGACCTGGATGATGATCCTGCAAAGGAGACTGAGGAGGAGTGGTCATATAGGTGGAAGGAAAACCAGGAGAGAATGTGTCACAAAAACCTTAGAGAAGAGGTTTTCAGAAGATGACAATGGATGATGTCAAAGGCTATAGAAAATTTAAGGAATTAAGTCTGAGGCCATTGGATTTGGCAATCAAAAGAGAGTAGTTTCCTACCAGCAGTATCAAGTTCAAATAGAAACCGGGGCCACTAAACTGTAAATAAGGGTCCCTGTGGGCTGCATATTGACTTCGCTTTTAAATCTAAGGCCAACTATGTTTTATTGTATTTTTATTTATTTTGTTAAGTGTTTCCCACTGACATTTAAATCTAGTTCCCAGCTACACTTAAGTGTTATTGGGCATGCCTGGTTTACACTGCTGTTACCCAAATGTTCTTCCAAGTCTGACCATATCACTCCATTGCTCAAAAACTTTCATTGTAAAATAGAAATTCCTTAGCCTGCTATTTAGCTAGATAAAATATTGTTACCACTTCCCTTCCCACACTTGATATTTAAACCAATATGGGCTATTCCCTGAATTCACCAGTCTATCCTTTACTTTTGTGCATTTGCACAAAGTGCCCTTCATGGTTGGAATGCATTCTTTCCTCATCACCTCCTCCAAGAGTTCTCTTTATTCAAGACTGTGTTACAGCCTCCTCTGTAAAGCCTCCCTTGAGTCTCCTAGTTGTTAGTATAGTCTCATTCAATATTCTTTCTATTATATGTGCCTGTATCCCAAGGACTGTTTTTTGTCTCTGTATCCATAGCACAGCATAATGGCACTGTGTTTAATAAATGTTTGTTGATTTTAATTAGGTGAGTACTATGAAGGGTTAAAAAAAATGGGACAAGTATAACTACATGCCCACAATGTTGTTCATCATTTTTAATCTTCTTGATATTAGTAACTGAATGTGTCTTTACTTCTAAATTGAACTTAACATGCCATTAGGAAACTATCATATATAGTTGCCATGTTTTTATAAAGATTTTAAACAGAAACAATTAGAGCAAGCATCCTGATGGCCAGAAAGGTATCAAGCAGTCTAAATGTCTACAAAATTTTCAGTAGTATCTCCTAAATATGTTTTAAATCATTTGAAAAGAGCCAAAAAAATTGTAGCATGAAATAATTTCTAGCACTGTGGTGTATATTAAGTAAAATTCTTGCTCATAGCCTAATATTTTAACCAAGTTCTTAACATAGAGAATCTGTTTCTAAATTGCTTACTTGCATTTAAGGTATAGTGGAAAGACCACAAACCCAAGTGTTAGGAAATCTAATTCTAATCCTGGCTCTGGGATTATTTGTGTAAATTAGGTCTTAATTGTTCAGTTGAATGGACTTGCACTAGATTATGTATTAAGACCCTTCTAGTCATTCAGTATTTATGTTCAGTGATTTTGGAAATGAGACTTGCTATTATCATTTTCTTTTTTCTTTTTTTCATGCTAGAGGCAACATTTTTTCTAGTCTTAAAACCACACTTATACATAAGTAGAACATTTTTAGAATAATTACTAGGATTCTTTGAATGTTTATGAATGAGATGTCTTCTGACAATTTTTATTATGAACTAGAAAATCATTAGTAAACAAACATATGCACAAAGGTCAGTAAAAAGAGGATTGTATATGAAACTGAATCTGTTACATATAACTTGCATTTTGAGTATATATAAAAATTAATGCAATAATACCACCATTTCCCTGCTTCTCCAGCAGTATATATTTTTGAAAATTGTACCTTCATATTTCTAAAGCAAGTATTGATTTGTTTTATTCAACATAATATAAACATCCTTGAGGACCAATTTATCTAGTAATGTTCTTAAATGTTTTAAGTGATTATTTATGGAAAAGTTTAATTTTTCTCTTAAAAGTACATAGATTACATCATGACTAATGTGAAAATGTCTAATATGAATGCATAAGTAGAGCCTATATCAGATTACATGCCATCTTGGAGAGAAGGAAGAAGAGGGAGGGAAAGAAAATTTAAAACTCAAAATCTAATGAAAGAGAATGTTGAAAGCCAAAAATAAACTAATTAAAAGAAAAGAGTACATAGAAAATTCTCCTGGATTTAAATTGTAAAGGAATATATGTCTTTATTATCTATCTTAAGGAAGTTAATACACTACTTCTTTTATATCATTGTATGTTTCCTAGAGTTTGGAGTAAAAAAAAACCTAGATGTAAATCCTGGTTCTCATAACTTCTTTTTCCTCATTTCATAAAGTGTAATATAGATCTTACTTTAAGAGTCATTGTAAGGAGCTACCTTTTTATCTGCAAGATGCCCTATAAAACTACAAGCTGTTGTAATTATGATTTGCCCAACAAATCCAGATTTATTTCGAAAGAAGTGTTAAAAATGTTAATGTACAAATCAGGGTGCTTTTGTTTTAAATACAAAATTTCTCCCCAAATCCAAAAGAAAAATTAACTTTTTATTTAAATAAGTATTAAAGAAAGTTTTTTTGAGATTCATTCCAATCCAGTCAGAATAGTTATTATTTGCTAGGGAAGACTTATGTAACTTGGTGTCCTCACTTCCAGGATTACATTGGAATATTACCAAAATAATGCACAGATCTTTGTTTTCTTTCCTACCATACATTAATTTGGAAATAATCTAATAAGGACAATGGTGGAGGTTTCTTGTTGTTTGAGGCTTTCTGCGTATATATTTTTTATCATCAAAAGAATTTTGAGTTAACCTTAGAGTTAAGGTTATTGTGAAATATCTTGTATTGTTTCATCCTTGATTTTCTTTGTTAATTAAAACTCTAGGATGTTTTAAAAATATTTTTCTTAAATTAAAAATCACATTATCTCACAGATTTTCCTAACTCACTTTATACTGCATGCCAATTTAAGACTTTGTTTATCTCCTTGCCATTCTCAATTGAACATGATGAGAATAGCTTTTCTGTAGTGCCTTAGCAATACTGAGCATACAGTTATTTAAAGATTTCATATCCAGAATGGTTTCTTAAAATTGGCTTTTTCTTTCTAGTGCTATGTCTTTTAGGCATTAAAGAGGAGTTAGTTGTCTAGTTCAGTAGGACCTTATAATGTGATGCTTTCCCTCTCACAGTTCACTGACTTATGGGAAAAAATATTATTATTTTTTTTTATATAGTGAGTAAATTCAGTTTGTCCTTTCTCTTCATTTTCAGGAAGAAGCAGAAATCCAGGCAGAACTTGAACGTTTGGAAAGAGTCAGAAATCTTCACATACGGGAACTCAAAAGGATAAACAATGAAGATAATTCACAGTAATGCATTTGTATTTTATATTTTATGTGCCATTTTAATTTTGCAATACCAAAACATGTGATAATCCTCTTTTTAAGCAAGGGAGGAGAACAGTCCTACAGAAATAAATTTCAAGTAATGTATACACTGCCATTCATGAAGCTATACTTAATAACCCTGCTGTATTGGGTATTTGAAAGATACTTGTATATCTTAACATAAACTAAGAAATATTTTTTGAGTTCTTATGTTCTCAGCATTGTGTTAGTTCTGATAGTTACAAAAGGAGTATAAGGTTTCCTCTTGGCCCCAAGGTAGTTGGCAGTCTTATGTTGTTAAATGCTCAAGTGACTGGCACAGACAGGAAAGGGCAAAAGGGGTCCGACTCATGGGGAAAATTATGTTGGGCTCTAGCAATCAAAGTGTCATGGAATCAGAAGATCTGTTTGTACTGATGTACAGTGAAATAAGCAGAACCAGAAAAACCATCTGCCCAGTGACTGCAGTAATATGAATGAAATGGAAACTGACTTGGGTAATTAAGAAACCTGTAATTGCCCAGGAGCACAGAGAGTGAGAATTTATCTCTCACTTTTCAGCAGAGAAGTCGGAGACTGTTGGGCAGAAGGTTATCTATGCCTTGCCAAACAGGTCACTTTAAGACATTTTTATATTTAACCAGGCAAAAGTTTCAGTTCCAGGAAGGCTAAGTTGGAAGGGAGAAGATATTTCCAAAATTGACTGTGATGTAAAAATAAGACATCAATAAAACTTAATTTTTAAAAAGTCATGGAAAAGGTGAGATTTGAGCAAAATGGGTTTGAGTGTGTGTTTAGATAGGTCAAAGGGAATGTGAAAAATATCTATTCTTTTCTCAAGGCAAAAATCATTTGTTAATTTAAGGCCTTATTACTTGACTTTGACTGACAATGCAAAGTGTTAACTGTATCTATGTCCCAGTTTTAAACTTACAGCCATGGACAATCAAAACCATTTTTCATTTTTTTTGTAATTGCCAGTAATGTCCTTAGTCTAGGCAAAGCATATTTTAGAAAACAAATTTTATCTTTTCTAACCAAAATTTAAACAAACTCCTACTTAATTTACTGATCATCATAGTTTGTGGTATTTCCAAAGGTACATGTAAAATAGATTAAAAGTCCTGCTATATTAGAATTTTAATACAACAATGAGTGTATTTTAAAATCTTTGCCTTATCTCATATGAAAATGATGTCTAAAGATATTTATGTGAGACTTGGTTTACTCTAATAGAAAATTAGTGAATTCTTATGGTTTCATCATATTGATTAGAATCCAGCAGAATACTCATTTTTATGTTATCTAGTCTAGTGTTTCATACATAGTAGAGCCTAATATACATACACAATAAATTTAGAATACTTTTTACAAAAGAAGCTCAAATTTTATAGAATTACCTTCATCTTAAAATTTGTCATATACTATTTTTATTCATTTCATATATAATTAAAACTTTATCTGTCCATGTTGAATTTTTTGTTTTTTCAAATGGCAACAAGAATTTTATACCTGTTTATTTTAAGGTAAATGCTTAAATAGCAGTTAATGCTAAAATGTAATTATGGATAAAGGCCACCTGTTATTTTCAGGTATTTGATTTGCTTAGACAGTCAGATCTTGATTAATGTTAGCTCCTTGAGGATAGAGACCATTTTTCACCTTTGCCTTCACAACCACAGCACCAGCCACCATCCCTAGCACCTTGACCCATAATAAATGCTTGTTGAACTGCACAGAATTGAATGAACAGAACTCTTGAATACAACAGTATTTTTTGGAGGTGTTAGAGAGCACACATACAGATGAGAACACACATGATTTCAAAAACTACCCAAACCACTGTAGCTCAGAGGCCAGATGCAGATGTAAAGAAGAGGAGAAAGGTGGAGAGGAAGGTGTCCCAAAAAGTGCTGTAATAAGAAAAGTCTTAAGAGAAAGGTAGCTCCCACCACCTCACCCCCCAAAAAAGGCTCTTTAGTGTAGATGGGACCTCATCATGCCTTTTCTTAATTTTTAAAATATGCATATGAATTTTTTCCCCAAGGTTTAAAGATCATCCCACATTAAATGAACGATACTTGTTACTTCATCTGCTTGGTAGAGGTGGCTTTAGTGAAGTATATAAGGTAATGTATATTTCAATCTCTTGTTTGGATTAGTATAGGAAAGATTGACTAAGAAATTGTCAAACCTCAGAATTATAGCAAATCTAAAGTTTATTCATGCAAATGTGTAGGGCGTTTCTGAAATTCAGTGAATATTATTAGCAATCTTGTAGAATAATAGAGATTAACTGTTTGTGGTATTTAGACAATTAGCAAAGACTTGAACCAGGACAGACTAAACACTCAATATTTTCCTTATCTAGAATATGAAAATAAGGATACTTGTAATACCTAACCAGCAAGGTTGTTGTGAGGATCTCATGAGATAATTTACAAACCTTAAAAGGCTACATAGGGGCAGCTAAGTGGCACAGTGGATAGAGCACCGACCTTGGAGTCAGGAGGACCTGAGTTCAAATCTGGTCTCAGACCAGATACTTGACACTTACTAGCTCTGTGACCCTGGGCAAGTCACTTAACCCCAATTGCCTTAAAAAAAAAAAAAAAGGCTATGTGAGTGTCAGACATTATTACTGTTATTTTGTGGCTTCTTAATTCTTATTTAAATAGATGCCAAAAGTCCTAAATGGCCTGCTTCTTTTCCAACTTCTGCCTCCAGATCCGTCCTGAAACTGTTTGAATATAAAGATAACCCTGAGATAACTTGAAAACAAAATTTAGACTTAAAATTGTTTAGACAAGAACCCAGTGAAATGGAGACTCACATGTGATTTCCAGTTTCCTGCATAGCAACTCTAATGTTAGTTAGAAATGGCCTTCAGACTGGACAAGAGGTTGAAAGAGGAGAAAATTACTGTAGCATTTCAACTTTAGTCATTGGTCCCTCTTCTATATCCCCAAGTGTTTCTCAACCTATTGAGACAACTCTTCCCCCAAAACTTTCAGGTATAAAAATAATTTAAAATGATGTTGGGTTGGTCTAGATCTAGAGACTTCAGAGCCTAGTCAAGTTTGTGAGTATTTATTAAAGACTTATTATTATGCCAGATGAACAAGGGAAAGCAAGCAGAACATCCTCTTTTCTTGATCCCAGGCCTGTCCCATTCTTGCTACTCCCAGCCCCTAAATTAACTCTTAACAATAGGATCATGCTGGGGTTGGAGATTACAAAATGAGTCCTTGTTGACTTTCATACAATCTCAGCTACCGTATGGACCAAGGTATTTTTCAAACTCCAGGGATTTCATTAGCCAGGCTAGAGATTATGGGAATTTCTCAAGGCCAATTATGGTTCCTTAAAAATAGCTCTGAAGGATGAGCTAGCTGACTAGTACCTGCTGGTTAGGTAAGATTTTAATTGACTATTAATTTAATAACCCAAAAAGAAGTACTAAATTTGGAATCAGAAGACCTAAGTTTAAGTACAGGCTCTCTCAGTACCATAGTGTATTATATGAGCATGTCACTTAACTGCTTTATGCCTCAGTTTCCTGATCTATAAAAATGAAGGAGTTAGATAGGATGATCTTTTAGTTCCCTTCAGCTCTAAATTGCATAACCCAAACCTAACAGTTGTCTTTCTTTACCCGGCACCATTCTTCCCAAAGAATTTATGTATATATACATATATATGTATGTATAATCATTATCCAATTAAATGGAAACTTTTCACTAACAGTTTATATGTAGTCAATGTTTTCTTCTCATGTTTTAGAACTTGTTGCTGTTTATACCTTATGTATCTCTTCTTCATGTCTTCCACAGCATTCACTTTGCATTCAAATTTTTTCTTACTCATACTAGCTTCGTTATTCTTGATTTCTTCAATGAAATTGAAAGAAAAAAAAAGAAAACTCAGCCCTGACCATGAAATTGGGGGGGAGGGGTGAGAGACTTAAAATCCTTTAGGTATAATTTCTGAATATACTTATAATCTCATGCTATCTAATGACAAAGCTATAATTTATAGTATTTGTGAAATGATCTTCCTTACATGGTGAGCAGTTTTTAAAGTGTTTTAAGGGAAGGGGAAAATGTCTCTCTTTTGGATAAATGCCAGAAGTCATATTTAATTAAAGTATGCCTTGAGAAGTGGTGACTATATAATTTACAATGAAATCTCTGTTCATGGAGTTTCTTTGTAACATGATGAGCAGCATTTTAAAACCTGTTTTTTCTAGTTCATTTAAAGCCATGTTGGATGGGGAGTTCACACTTCCAACAGTAGACACAATATTGTTTGCTACTCTCTCTTAAGGAATAGATTGCAAAAACTACTGAAGCTAAACTTGGGTAGTTTATATTTTACAGAGTTTACACAGATTATTTTTAATACTACATTGAGCTTCAAGGACAAGGGAGCTCTCTGGAATGAAGGAAGTCAGGTGGGGAAGAAATAGGTTTCCTACCTTTCAGCTTGCAGCCTAAAGAGCCAGTAATCTGCTCGCTTGGGTTGCTATTGTCTCTTTGGCCAGTTATCTTTGGAATAGGGCCAAGTAAAAGTATTAATATAGATTAATTGCTTTATCTTATAATACTGATAAAATTACAGAAAATCTAAGTGAGAATCTTTGCACAGAAGGTGTTTAATATTTGACTGATACCAAGCTATATAGATTTGGTAGTATTTTATTACTAATTATGATCTATTAATTAGGATAATCCACCTTTTTCTGATATACTACAGCACATATCGCTATAGTTGTGGTATTCTGTGCCTGGCAGTAAAATTTCTGACTAATTTTATGGGTCATTAAAATAGAACTCATTCATTAATTAGAGGTGTTACCTGGAGTCAACTTAGTATAGTGAGAGGAGTGCTGGATTTGAATCCTAGAGACCTGGTTTCATATCCCAACATCAACACTTAATAGTTGTGTTGACCCACTGGCAAATTAATGCCACTACCCAACTCAATGGGTTGGCTTTAGAGAAAGCATTTTGTAAATCTTAAGGCAGTGATATAGTTCATAAGAATCCCTGAAGGCTGCCTATTGGCTTAGAAAACCACATATTAGGATTATATGTGTTCTATTATATTTTAATTTATTTTGTTAAATATTTCCCAGTTACGTTTTAATCTGGTTGGTGGCTGCCACTGACACTTCTGCCTTAAGGCACCGAGCAACTCTACCAATTTCCACTGAAGCTGCTACTCTGCATCATTATAGAGATTTTTCTTGTCCAGAGTTTTCTACACTGATAACATCACAGAACTACAATCCCTTCTACCCAAAGAGATAACCTATATGAATCACTGTTGTTATGATCTAGATTAGCGATTTCCTTTTTGTTTGTTTGTTTTTAAGAATTGTTATATTTTAAATGAATTTGTAAATTTCCTTGGTCTTTGGCTGTAACTATTCTTTGCCTTGGATTTCAGGCTTTTGACCTTTATGAACAAAGATATGCTGCTGTGAAGATCCATCAGCTTAATAAGAGCTGGAGGGATGAGAAGAAGGAAAACTACCACAAGTAAATATCAATGCCTTACGGTTCTTGTGGTAAATTGATCAAGAGTCTTTTGATCACGGAAAATTAACATGCTCTCTTCCTTTAGACATGCCTGCAGAGAGTATAGAATACACAAAGAACTGGACCACCCCAGGATAGTTAAATTATATGATTATTTCTCCTTGGATACAGACACGTAAGTATGGAATAGGTTTAGTGATAATGAAAATTAGTATACGTGAATAAGAAATTTAAAAGTTGGGATTTGGGAATATAAAATTTTTGTTATACTGTATAAAAAGAGACTTCCTGAAAAACAGGTCACCATATTGTGTTTTCCTCAAAACAAATTCACTTTATCCTGTCTCAGAAAATGTTCTTTATTTTAAAGTTCTCTCTCAATGCCTGGATTAGCTTTTCGTTGACAATTAATTATAAATATTTCAGATATACTTCACTTTTCCTGTATATTGGGCATGAGGATTGTGAGTTATTTGTTAGTACAATTTAATGGCATATCTAATATATATGTATTTGTTTTTCTCCATTATAGGTTTTGTACAGTGTTAGAATACTGTGAAGGCAATGACTTGGATTTCTATCTCAAACAACATAAATTAATGTCAGAGAAGGAAGCTAGGTCCATTGTTATGCAAATAGTAAATGCACTAAGATATCTCAATGAGATCAAACCCCCTATTATCCATTATGATCTTAAACCAGGTAAATAAGAAATTTATCAAGATAATTTTTAAGTCTTATTCTATGACACTTGAATAATAGATATCAATTTCCTGATAATTTTAAAAATAGTACATTAAATCAGGTGAAAGCTGTGCTAAAGATATGCTTTTTATGTAGTTTGAGAACTGCAATAGAATGGTAATTAATTTTAGAACTATCATACTAATAGCTTTACTATGTAATCACTTTCCATTTAGTTCATAAAATCTAGTATTATTAAATAATGAAAACAATGAATTGCTTGCAGTTGTACAGACTGGGGGAAAAACTTATATTTAAAAGTATTTCTTAATTTTTGTACTTCTTTATTTTTTGTTAGGAAATATCCTTTTAGTAGATGGAACAGCATGTGGAGAAATCAAAATTACTGATTTTGGCCTGTCCAAAATTATGGATGATGATAGTTATGGAGTGGATGGAATGGATCTAACTTCTCAAGGGGCAGGGACATATTGGTAATTGTATTTTAAATATTAAAAATATCAGCTTTCCCTGTATCAGAGATCTTTTGACCTTTTTGGGGGGAAAGGAGCTATTTTCCATTTCTTTAAACCCTTGATCTTTAAGGAAGGCAATAGTCAGAGTGAAGCCACTAACAAAGCTTGTGGGTTATGGTGTTGAAGGGTGGGCTTCCCTCCCTGATGTAAGTCCTAGCAAATTGCAGAAAAGGAGTAACTGGGCAAGAGCAGCAGACTTGAGGCCTACTGGGTAGGACTTTCAGAACCACCACAGAACCACCCCAGTAAGCTGGTTCTGGCTGGTTCTGCGCGGTTGCTCTACATAGATGTACTTTCACAAAGTACTTTTATGGAATGTCACTTATTCACATAACAGATATTGTCCAGAATTAAAAAAAAAACAACATATTACATAGTATGTCCTCTATTTGTGGGTTTTATAATTAAAGTTTTGGTTATTCGCTTTAAATATTCTGCTATCAAATTAGTATTGAATTCTTTTATATGTGACTTAATGATCCAGTCTGAGGCTTCATATAGCTTTTGAAACCAAAAGCTATAGAACTACCTGTATGAAAACATATACATGTATGCATGCATGCATGTGTGTGTGTGTGTTTGTGTGTGTGTGTGTGTTCACTCATACATACATTCCCATTTTAGAAGGACACACCCAAGGAATACTAGAGCACTTATAGTACTACTTCATCTTAAATTCTGCAAAGCTGGAAGTATTCCTGAGTACATAAAAATAGGCTGCATATAACATAAAACCACAAATAAACTGAGTTTTCAGATTATGCCATTCATTGCTTGTTGAAAAGGTAGTGACATTTGAAGGAGAAAGTTACTTTCATTCCAGTTTACTAAAAAGAGCAGTGATTACAAATTGAAGTTTGACTTTTCAATCCCCATAGCAAGAACAATGCCTTCAAACAATCATAATATGTGGATAAGTAACAAGCTTCTTGCAAGTACAGAGCGTGAGACTTTTAGAAGAGGAGATTGTCATAACTCCTGTCCCTTTCCTCCAAACCACTGAAGTCCTTGTTCAGACTCTTCTCTTACTTGTAGTAACTGAATCCTCTGGAGTTCCTAGGGAAGAGAAGCCAGAATGGAAACCTTTACTAAAATAATGATATTAATAATAATAATAATCACTATCATTTATGTAGCACTTACTGTATGCCAGGCACTGTGCTAAGCACATCATAAATATTATTATCTCATTTGATCCTCGAAATAACCCATTGTGAGGTAGGTGCTATTATTATCCCCATTTTACAGATGAGGAAACTGAGAAAAACAGGTTAAATGACTTTCTCAGGGTCACACAGTTAATAAATGTCTGAAGTTAAATTTGAACTCTGGTTTTTCTGACTCCAGGCTCAGTGCTCTATCTACTGTTCTGTTTCACTGCTACCACAGAGTCAAAGTCTGATAGGAATACACTTGGTATAAATTAAATAGGCCTGGCTGCTCAGTGGAAACCTAACTCCCTTCCTCTGAGAGAACACATTCTGATTTCAAGTAATGTTTGGGAGCACAGCCCACAGTCAGTTGAAATAGTAGGATTTGGAGCTGAAAAGGACCTTAGAGGGAAAGCTAGATAGAGCACCAGCCCTGAAGTCAAGAGGACCTGAGTTCAAATCCAGCCTCAGACCAAACACTTGACACTTACTAGCTGTGTGACCCTGGGCAAGTCACGTAACCCCAATTGCCTAAAAAAAAGAGAAAAGAAATGAAAAGGACCTGATTCTGTGACTGTTCTTTTCACTCTTGCAGGCTGCCTTTCTGCGAGCTTTCACAATTTAGAACTGGGCATGAAAAACAGGGTATGAAACAGGAAATAGGCCATTAAATACTCACAAATCCTTAACCAAAATTTTATTGTTTTCAATTTTAATATAGTGTTCCTTTCATAACTTAGCTTACATGTATAAAATAATTTGTCATCCTTTTTCTTCCCCCAAAAAACTGTTTCTTAGGCATATGCTGTATCTGCTTTCATTTTTCCTTTCTTTTCCAAAGGTTAAATTATTTTAGTTTTTTGCCTTCTATTGTTTATGGGATTTATAGGATCTTGAAGATTTAAAGTTAGTATGTCTACAGAGTATTACTGAATTGCATACTTTCAATTTACTATTTTCTATAGTGTAGATTTGATAATTAAGTCAACTGTGTGACTCTGATTTAAGACTTATGAAGTAACTGTACTTTTTGTGCCATACTTTGGTTATGTCAGCTGTGTTTTCTGATCTTTGGAAAAATGATTTGCAGGAAAATTTTAGGCGAAATTGTTTTTAAGGATGACCAGTATTTTGATTTTCATGATGCTTCCCCATCCAATCCAACTCATTTCCTAGTGATAGCTAAGAAACCCATTACCCAGCTATTTGTAGCAGACCACAATGATGAAAGTCTTGAACATTTCATTTTTCCTTTATTTTCCAAAGAGTAAATTATTTTGGCCTTTTGCTTTCCATCATTTGTGGGAATATAGTTTCTTGAAGATATAGGTTTGGTAAGTCTATAGAATTTACCAAATTGCCTGCTGTTGATTCAGTATTTTCAATAGTATTTATTGGATAGTTGAGTCAACCATGCTACTTTTTTAAGACTGCTAGAGCTACTGTACTATTTGTGCCAAGCTTGGTTACATCAACTATAAATATGGAACTGCAGAATTGATATTCACAGACATTATACTCTATTATGCATGTAGTAACTTGTTTGATTTTCCCCTTCACTTAAAAAGGCTTTGATAGAGAATTAGATTAGATCACGTTATAAAGGACGTGGAAAAATATTGGGCCCTATAAATGTCAGTATTTATCCAAATCCCACAGCAACTCTATGACTCTTACCTGTAGCAGTTGCATGCAAATATTCCTTAAAGAAAAGGCTAACAGATCAATTCTATCCTTTGGAGGTCTACAGTGATGAAACTAAGGGGGAGAGATCCCTAAAATGTTGCTAAGGGATCAACTAGTGAGAATATGATGAAAAGCAATGGCTTTATTATCTCTATAGCTTTATAATGAGTTGACATAAAATATAAATCTAGTTTATCATCTTGATGTGGGTCAGATAAGAAGAATAACATAAAAAATTATAACATCTTTTCATCAATAGTATATATTAACCATGTACCAGGCACTGTGCTAGATGCTAGGGATATAAATATGAATGAAAAGTTCCTACTCAAGGGAGTTTTTATTCTAACGTAGAGGTTCTTGAGGAGTTTTTAATCTGTGAACTTTTTTTTTTTTTTAGTATTTTGGTAACTGTTTCAGTATAGTTGGTTTCCTTTGTAATCCTATATATTTTATTCATTTATACACATTCTGAGACTGTCAAAGGAGTCCATCACACAAAAGAAAGTTCAGAATTCCTGTTTTAATGAGAGACAATGAGAATGAATATAAACATATATAGAACAAATATAAAGTAGTTATATAAAATGTAATTTGAGGAGGATGCTATTGAGATCAAGAAAGGCTTCATGTAGCTGTTGGAATTGGAATTATGTCTTGGGCACTCTGAGGCAAAAAAGAAGGGAGAGTCATCTTGCAGGTTTGGGGCACAATTAGTGTAAAGATGTGAAGATGGAAAATGGAGTGTCATGTTTGACTGGATCACGGAGCCCAGACAGGGGAGTAATGTATAATGAAGCTGGAAAGATTGGTTGGGACCTGTTTGAGAACAACTTTAATAGCTGAACAGAGAAGATTATATTTTATTTTAGAGGCAATAGGAAGCCACTGGAGTTTAGTATTTGATTCATCTAATTACAGACACCTGTCATCCCATATTAAATTTTCAATTATTTCCAGTTACTTAAACAATAAAATAAAATAAAAAGAATAAAATACTGGATTTTTGAAAGCAGATGTATCTGTTCAGGAGAAATTTCTCTGAATTCTCTTAAAATTTGATTACATCTGAAAAGGAAGATGTTTGTAGTCTCAGGTGAATCCTTTTATTACAGGTTCATATATTCAGAGTTGGAAAAAACCTTAGAGGCAATCTGATACAACCTTCTCCTTTTACAGATTAGGAAACTGAGGCACAGAAAAGTGAGGTGACGTACTAAGGTTACATAGTTTCCTCAAAGACTTTCGCTATTTTGATAGTGAATATGTATCATTTTCCAGAGCTTTTTACTTAGATTCATTACTAGCTTCTGCTAGAAAATATCTGATTTCTAATGCAATATTGCATTAAAATAATTTTTCACTATTATCAGTTAGCATCAGAGATAGGGAGCTAGAAAGGGTCTTAAAGTTCACCTATTCTGACTCTTATTTTACAGCTAGGATTCTGTAAATATTATTTGAAATTATATCGGTGATCTAAGTAGATGCCATGAGATTTATTTAATAAAATTAAAATTTTATTAAAACTCTTAAAAGTTTGGTGGATCTTTTCTTTAACAGTAGAAAAGAAAAATTAGGATATCAGTTCATAAAAGGAAGAATTTATTAAAGAGTTATGTAGGTTATCTAATTATGTGTATTTTGAAAATTCAGAAATTTGTTGCAAGATGGAATGTTCAGAAAAGCTGTGGGGAAACATGATAATTGTACAAAAACTAATGGCATCACAATATATTTATTAAATGTGGAAAGCATATTTTTATGCTGGAAGTGGGTGGGTTGGACTAGACCTGTGATTTCATTAGTAAAAGCAATTCCCAGTGAGTAAACTCTGGGCACCTGCTCTGTAATCTGTAGTCTTAGTTGTTTGAGACACTCAGGGATTAAGCGATTTGCGCAGGGACACAGAACCAGTAGGTGCTAGAAGAAGGATTTAAATACAGGTCTTCCTAACTCTAAGACTAGGTGTCATGCACTGTGCTATGCTGCCTCTAGATAAAAAGGTGAAGAATAATTATTCTAAACAGGTCTATACCTCGTAGCATTTACTCCAATAAATTCCCAATGGATTTAAGTTAAACTGCATTTATATAATAAATGTATAGAAGAGCTGGACAGGAACTTGAGAGTCATAGCATTTTAAGAAATGAAAGGCACCTTGGTGGCCACCTAGCATCTGAACAACCCCTACCTCCCCAGCTAAGAGTTGTACTCTTCTTTCCCATCTTTGAGCACTTCTCATCCTCCTCTCCTTCTGGCCCTCCTTGTTTCTCTTACTCTTCTACCTCTTCTTTGCATCATCTTCTCTTCTTCCTTCTTTTCCTTCCTCTTCTATCTTCTGACTGTCTCCCCTGTTCCTTTCCTATCCTCTCCCCCATTAAACTTCTCACATCCTCCTGAATTTCTTCTCATTCTTCTTCAGTTCAGGTCCTGAACAACCTTTTTCTATAGAAATTACAGGAAGTTTAACCCTTTAATGAGAAAACTAAGGCCCAGATACATTGAGTTAATAACAGAGCTGAAATTCAAAGCCAGGTATCCTGGACCCCACTCCCTCATTAGTATTCTTTCCCCTGCACCATACTGCTGTGTGATTTTAAAAATAAAATTGAAGAAGTCAGTATTATGCATTTGTCATCACTGGAGAAGAAATAGTTTTCAAAGAAATCTAATAAAATAAATATTAAAAAGAATATGTCAGAATAGGAAAATTCTCAGCAAACAACTGATAAAAACTTTACTCTCCAAAATATATAAATTATTATAAATAACAGGTTAGAGGAGTACCTTCCACTTGGCAAATGGTTAAAGGAGATGAACTTGTGGTGTGTACAAGGAGGAAGAAATGTAGCTCTTTGCTAACGATTAAAAATAGAAGGAAAAAACCATTTTGTATATATGCCTATTCATTAGTCAAAATTATAAAACCCAATATTGGTAGAAATATAGGGACATAGGTACAGTTATATGTTGCTGGCCTTGTTTTAAATTGGTCCAGACTTTATCATGAATAGAAGTCTTATTCTTTGACCAGATAATTCCAATTTCAAGGATTACTCAAAATATGAAAAAAATAATTTGCACAAATATGGATTTTTTTTAAAGTGTTGGAAATAGAATACTCTAATGTGAGTTTAGTCAATTTTACATGCATTTTGAAACATTTCTGTCATTTCATTTCTGTATTTCAGAAAAATCTAGTAATTTTATAACTTTTCAAAGAATGGTTAAGGCTAGACATTCCCTTTTTATAGATTATGCAGTCCAGTCCTCTCATTTTGAAGATTAAGAAAATAGGCCCAGATTTTGTTTCTCTTGACTTTCCTGTTGATACGTTCCTTTTAAATATATTTTAAAATTAGTCACAATTAGGCCATTAAAATTACTCCTGGTGATTTAACTTGTTTTATACTAGTAATTTGGAAAATTATAGTATGTAACTTTATTATAAAGACCCACCTGTATAGTTGAAGTTATTGTCAAATGATAGAATGATATAATCCATGCACTGATGGCAATGGAAAATTGAATGAATATTTGCATATGGAAAATAAGTTTATCCTAGAGCATTTGTTAGGTCCTAGAGTTAAGGAATATTGATGACATCTTTGTCTTATTTTTTGAAAGGTATTTACCTCCAGAGTGTTTTGTAGTTGGCAAAGAGCCTCCAAAGATTTCCAACAAGGTTGATGTATGGTCTGTTGGAGTCATCTTTTTTCAGTGTCTGTATGGTCGAAAGGTAAGTAGTTACGTTAAAGTAATATTCTTCCTCTTAAATACTATTTTACGTAAGGTAAATTCTATAAGATCTTCAAGAGTGCTTACTGCTGACCTCAAATGTTTCCTTTGTGTGTATTTAGTAGAATTTAGTTTTGCTAATGTTTAGTCTTTATATGACTTTATGTGGTTTTCTGTAGATCAGATTTATTTTTAAAATTCATGGTATCATCACAAAGTAACTTTGAGGTGACCTTGAACCTTAATGGTTGTCTAACCATACAAAGTTTCTTTACCTCCTTGAGGCTCAGTTTCTTCATTTATAACTTGGGGTTAATACTTAACACTACCTGCCTTGTAGAGTTGTGGAGAAAGCATTTTGCAAACCTTAAAACACTATAGAAATATCAAGTAGTGGTGTTTTATTGGTTCTTGGTTACCTAGCCTGGGAAACCATTTTCCATTTCTAATACTGTTTTTGAATTCTGTATATCAAACAATATACTCAACATTTTTCAAATAAAGCCCAATTGTAATTTGTGGCTTCCCTATGTATCTTACATATTAGCTACCTAAATGTGGTACTGTCACTGTTGGAAAACTTTAGATTATAAGCTTCTGAGTATCTAATTCTATTTTTTAGCCATTTGGTCACAACCAGTCTCAACAGGACATCCTGCAAGAAAACACAATATTAAAAGCCACAGAAGTTCAGTTCCCTGTGAAACCTGTTGTAAGCAATGAAGCCAAGGTACTCAACTTAGATAAATGAATAATGTAAAAAAATGATATTGAGCAGAATGTGTTCTAGGACAAGGTGTGAGTACTCTGTAATGACTAAATCAAAAGGAAGTTAGAGTTTCCTCAAGAGCCCTGTCCTTGTAGGGGTATAGATTTCCCACTTGGTCCTTTGATACGTCACAGCTCTTGCATTGACACTGGTTTTGGTATTTTATTTTGCTTTTTAATAAGAAAGTATAATCCATTCTTTAGTTTAGGCCTAATTGCTTTGAAGCACCAGGGTAAGCCCAAGAGTTGTGGTCTGGATGTTCATATAACACTTCCTAATAGGAAGCGGCATCAAGTGGGAAGATAAGAATTGGTTTGTGTTCGGGCCCTCTGGTTGGTTTATGCTTCACCACTATGTGAATCTAAAACAGATGGGCTTCTTGGAATACAAGTGAGACACTGCATGTATAGGCTATCTACATGTATTCATTCAGTGCTTCATCCTCATACCATAAGACAGCCATAATCATACTAGGTCACTTCACTTTCTCCCCCTTCCTGTACCCTTGCATTTGATCATTGACTTTCATTCATAAGTTTTTATTTTTTGTTCACAAAGTTCTATTTTCAGTGACCCCCTTTGGGAATATTCCTTTTTTCAAGGTGCTCCAAATTCCAACAATAAATGAAGGCAGCCGCTACTATTATTTCTGATGCATATGTAAACCTGGATATTGAGGGAGTCATAGGTCAGCTTTGTGAAGAAAGATGGGGGAAGAGGCTACTACCTGCTGCCACTTAATCATGCCCTTCTTAACATACATGTATTGCTTGGCATTACTTGGAGCTGTAGCTCTAGGTTATCTCATGGCTAATAGTATGGAATCTTTGTGATATAACATATATGAAGTAGTTTGTAAACCTTAAAGCCCTGCAGTTCTTTTTTATGGCCATTCTCCGTAACATTAGTCACATGGTATACTCCTAAGTAAAACTTTTTTCTGGGTTGTAGGTGGTAGAGCTTTGCTCACCTCACCCCCAGAAAAGGCTCCTGTGCTTACATGCTGTGCATATAGGTACAAAAGTGAGACTAACCCTGCCCTCAAGAGGCTTATATTCTACTAAGAGGATAGTTCTCTTCTAGGAATATACTGGTGAGCTAATATTTAGGGAATGTGTGTGTGTGTGTAAATAAAATTTGACATTTTATTTCTGAATTCTGTTTTTTAGGCTTTCATAAGACGTTGTTTAGCATACCGTAAAGAGGATCGATTTGATGTCCACCAACTGGCTAATGATCCTTACCTTCTCCCACACATGAGAAGATCAAATTCTTCAGGGAATTTACATATGGCTGGACTCACAGCCCCAACCCCCCCTTCTTCAAGTATAATTTCTTATTGACGTGGCTCCAAGATTGGCATGATGTCTTTCAATTGTTTTCAAATGCAGACTTATTTGAGAGCATTGAGTGTTTTTTACACAAGACAAGATTGAAAACTTTTCAAACTGAAGTTCTTCTTTAGTGTAATTTGTATTTGAGTGGATCATGGACTGTGAATAAATGTCCTCTTCTGACTGTAACCTTAAACGTGGAAGGATCACTACCTCTTGCACACAGACGAGTACTGTGTTTAAGAGGGGAAATGGGCCTTTGGGCAGGGGGGTGCGGGGGGGGAAGACATTGTAAATAACGTTTATAATACTTAAATAAATTTTTGGCTGATACTGGAGAGTTCTAATATGAAGGGTAGTTTTTCATTATTTAAATTCATGGAGGGAATATCAGACAAATTCTAACACAAGAACTACAGTGCCTGTGTCCATGCATTAGCCATTCAGCAGGAATTCTGCTGACACCAAAGTAAGAAGTGAATGACAGTCACCTTGTGTTATGGAATAATGGAATATCACAGACTTTTTGGACAGAGTTAAACTTTGTGTTTTGCCTCTTTGGGCTTTTGCGAGTTATACCTCAAAACCACATTTCTTTTTTCCCATTGGTTATCATTTTGAATGGTGAGCTATTCTAGATACTTTAACCCTTGATTAGATGAGCTGCATATTTTGAAATCTTGTTGCATTAGCTAAATTGTAATATTTGCTGTGTTTCCAAACTGTTAGAATTTTTAATATGTGTTTCATAATTCATTTCCTGGCCTTGTGATTAAAAAGTGGCAGTATGTAACCAAATGCAGACCAGTTCTATGCAGGATAATGATCAATTCCCTTCAAGTTCTATTGTAAATTGATGTACAGATGTCATATTTTCAATTATTCACAAGTTTCAGCAGCTTATTCTTGTACAAATGTTTAAAGTATGGCTTTTTCTAATTGGATGTTGTATTTTTTTTAAGTCTCCTTGAAAGCGCTTTAATTGCTGCTAAGTGGTGTTGCTTTTACCTTTGCAAAAAATTGAATGACCTCCTTAAGGTGCAAGTTGACTGTACGTCATAGAGAGATAATAAAAGTAGGCACTTACTTAACAATCAAGGCATGTATAACTGAATATGTTGGACATATCAGCTCTTCTAAGTCAGTTTCTTGTGCTCTAACACTGTGGGCACAGAGTCTAGATTCAGAAATTGTTCACAGTTATTCTACATTTCTGGAGGGTTCCTATTGGCAAGGTGGGAAGTTATTCCTATAAAGAAATTTTCTTGTAGTTTGTACAGATGTGTTAAAATGTGAAACATTTTCTAACTGCCTTGTATGGTAGAAGCTGTTTTTTTTTTCTTTTCAGGATGCTGTATTTCTCTCCTGTACATTACTCCTTTTGCTGTCACATTCATGATGCTGAATACTTATATGTAAGTAAGTAAGTTTTGTCCATGTTGCAGAAAAAGGAGGTTATATTACCACAGGTTCTCATTTAATACTGTACATATATACTGTGGCTCCTGTTTTTAATGTTGGTAAGCCATTTTGTTTTTCACTGTACATAAACACATTAACTGTCTCTTTAAGACACTGCTGAAATTGTAGAGAATGTAGCCAATACAGTAATAAACAATGACAATTGAAATTTAAAGACTCTGTAAGTAAAATTTAAATGAAAACTTCAAGATTTAAGATACTGATTAACACAGCTCCTTTGCCTACAAATAGAACCCCAGCTGCAAAGTGCTTCAAAATGCCAGACCCACGGTCAGAATGTTTAAAATTTGTATGGTGGCAGCCAAAGTGAGGTAAGTGACACAGCATTATTCAAACAACAGACATTTATTAAGTGCCACCATAGGCTAGCAATAGGGATATGAAGATAAAATGAAACAGCTCCTTGGGTAAAAGCCCTTAAATTCTTCTAGGCACACTTAGGAGTTGCACCTGTCCTTTAAAAAGACAGATTAAAGCAAGTATCCTGTCAAAAATGGTGATGTGATTATGAAAAGTGAACATAGGTGCTTTGCTTAATGGGCTAATAGATTTCATATTTTATGCAGCACTGTGCATCTGTTGTTTGCATATTCCTAACCTTAGTAAAATAGCATACATATCTAGTGGTTATTATTTAAAAACTGGTTTTTTTAGGCAAATGCTTTAGGTCTGTTTCACTGGGACAGATTCAGTGGGCATGTAAATATCTAGTATGTGGGAGAATAAGTAGAGTTGATTGTTGCTTGGATACCTTTTAATTCATGTTAATATGAATGATGCTTATGATGCAAGGGAAAAAGCAAAATCGAAACTTGCTAATTTCTCTTAATTTAAGTGGTCACTTAGAATCAGATAACCACATGACTGGTCAGTAGCTCAGAGGTAATCTAATCCAGTACTCAAAAAGTCATGGTGGTTTTCTGAAATTAGAAAGAGTAATAGTACTATTTAATAAAACTAAGATTATATATTTGTGTATTCATTCTGAAGCACTTATTTTTTTAAATCAAACTCTTTGGGGGTGAAGGTGTGCTTTTCTTGACTTAATTATTTAGTAGTTTTAATAATAATCTAATCTAAAAATAAGTAGAACTCAATGAAAATTGATAAAATTACCTTAAAATGGAAATTATTTAACTTGATTTGACATTTTGATTCTAAGAGCTTCATAATCCTTGGCAAAAAAAAAAGTTCTGGAGAGCCACCTTCACTGATGCTTTTAAATGTTTCTTAGTCTTTTTCTTATTTTTAGATTGTTTCATTTATAAGAAGAATTGTTTGCATAGGTAAGTGCTGCCAAAGAAAGCTATTCTTCTCACTGCCGAGGACCTCAACTGTGTGCTCTGGGGAAGGTGGTTGGTCAAGTACAAGTAACTTTTTTATTTCCTGAAACACTGCAAATTAATCAGCTCAGTTTGTAAACTTTCTGGAATGTTCTCTGCCTCCAACTTCAAAGGTAACAAAAAATTATAATGAAACTATATAAAATTCTTAATCTTTCATTAAATTCTTCTCCGTGAAAACATTTTCTGGGCATATTTTTGAGCACTTTTGAATGAGGCATTTTTTGAGGCATGTTAGTGTTAAGAAATAAGTAAAACCTAATTTGATTTAAATTGGCCAGTTGGTACAGGAAGAGAATCCTAGGTTTGGAGCTGGAAGACCTGGTTCAAAGTTCCAGGTCTGTGACTAACAGCAGTGTTACCTTAGACAAGTCACTTAACCTTAGTGGCCTCACTTTCTTTCTTTGTAAAATGAGAAAATTAGACTAGATGGGGTTCTCTTCCAGCTCTAAATTTGTAAAACAAGGAACTTCTTTGTTTTTTCTGTGCTGAAAGCATTGAAAACTTTAATACAGTCAAACATTTTGGTAGTTAAGTCTGTATTTTCCTTGTAATTCTTTAAACAATTCAAGTCTTATTTTACATTCATAAGAAAAGGAAAAAATGAATCGTCTATCTGTCAGTGTCTTTTTTTCCCCCTAGTTAGCCAACAAGCATTTATGTGCCAGATGCTACAATGTTCTCTGGGGATTCAAAGACAAAAATGAAACGTTCTTTTTCACTAAGATCTATCAGGCCAAATAGTGTATGTGTGTGAAAGTACAAAGTAATTTAGGGAGAAGGACATAGTAGCAATAGGGATCAAAATGGAGGTCATTCACTAGTACCTGCCTTCCTCCCTCCTTCCTTTTGTGCATCTCCCAACCTCTTCACATCCCACATCCTCTCCTTTTTACTCCAGTCTTGGATGAAGAGGCTGTACTTCTCTTAATTCTACTTCCTCCCATCTTCTATAGCCGATTGCCCTTTTGCACATCCCTTCTCTCTGATCTCTCATTGCCCAATGGTTCCTTCTCTGTTGCCTAAAAGCATACCAAAGTCTTCCCTAAACCCTCTCTATATCTTACCATTCCTTCAAGTTATCAGACTGTCTCTCTCTCTTCTTTCACAGTTAGATTCCTAGAAAAAGCTGTCAGTACTTACTGTTTTCCATTTTCTTTCCTCTCCTCAATCCTTTATAATTTGGTTTCCTTCATTGCTGGTCTTAAAACAGCTTTCTCCAAAGCTGCCAATAACCCCTTAATTGCCAAATCTAGTGGCTTTTTTTCAATACTTGTTTTTTTTTGCCCTTCATGACATTTGACACAGTTGACCACCCTCCTACAGTACCCTTCTCTCTAGATTTTTGTGACACTGCTCTCTCTTGATTCTCCTCCTACCTGTCTGACCACTCCTCCCAAGCTCTTTTGCTGGTTCATCTATGTACAACCTCTTTAACTGTAGGGTGAACCCCCAAAGTTCTGTCCTGGGTCTGCTCCCCTATGTCTATAATTGTCATTCCTTATGTAGGTGGCTTCCAGATATCCAACCCAAGTCTCTTTCCTAAGCTTCAATCCTGAATGACCAAATGCCTTTTTAGCATTTCCAGCTGAATGCCCCATAGTCCCTCAAACTCATTATGTCCTAAACTTAACTCATCTTTTCATTAAAATATAAAGTCCTTGAGGATAAGGATAGTTTTTTTTTCCTTTGTGTCCTCAGTTTATCATAGTGCCTTGTACAAAGTAAATGTTTGTTGATTGAGTTACTTTTTTTTAAAAAAAATCTCATTGATATATTTTGTTTTTTAAATTGCCAGGATTTCTCCCAGTGTCTCTACCCCTGTGGAGCCATCCCATATAACAAATAATATTTTCATTTTTTTTAAAAGAGGAAAAAAGAGACTGAAAAATGAGCAAAACCAATCAATAAATTAAAGAAGTCTGAAAATCTGTATAGTGTATATCTGAAAAAAATTGCTTGAGAAACTAGAGGTAAAAAGACTTGTGGTGTCCTAAATGAGACTACAAATGAATATATGTATTTCGCAGCAACATGTGGAACTTTTTACAAAAATTGACCATGTATTGGTATACAGAGATAATGCAAACAAATGCAAAAAGGCAGAAATAGTAGATGTATCCTTTACAGACTATAATGCAACAAAATTAGTAATCATTTCAAGGACAACAAAAAAGACAGAGACCCAAATGGAGATTTAATAACGAAATCCTAAACAATGAGTGGATCAAGAAACAAATCATAAAAATGGTCATTAATCATATGAATATCATAATGAAGAAACAACATATCAAAATATCTGGGATGCAACAAAAGCTTTTCTCATGGGAAAAACCACATCTCTAAGAACATACATTAATAAAATAGAAAAAGAGTTCTGGAGGCAAAGAATTAGAAATCAAGGGGATACCCATCAGTTGGGAAATAGCTGAACAAACTGTGGTATGTGATTGTGATGGAATATTATTGTGGTATAAGAAATGATGAGCCCGATGCTCAGAAAAACCTAGAAAGACTTGGATGAGCCCTGATGCAAAGTGAAATGTACTAGGTACAAAGTAACAGCAGTATTGCAAGATGATCAGCTGTGAATGACTTAGCTATTCTCAGCAATACAATGATCCCAGGACAACTGAAGGACTTAGGATGGAAAAAATGCTATCCATCTCCAGAGAAAGAACTGATGGTGTCTGGATACAGACTGGAGCATAGTTTTCTTTACTTTGTTTTTCTTGAGGTTCCCCCCTTGCCTTTGGTCTGTGTTTTCTTTCACAACATGACTATTATGGAAATGTTTTACTTGACTGCACATGTATAACCGATGGAGAACCACTTGCCTTCTCAATGGGGAAGGGGGTGGGGAGGGAAGAAGGGAGAGAATTTGGAATTCAGAATTTTAAAAATAAACATTAAAAGTTATTTTTACATGTAACTGGGGAAAAATAAAATACTAAAGAAAGGAAAAAAGGAAAATAGAAAAAGAGTAGATTAATGAACTGAATATGCATTTTTTTAAATCAGCTAAAAGATTAACCTAAACTGAACACAAAAGAGGAGATATTAAAAGCTGGATAGATAAATTGGAAACCAAAAAACCCTGCAGAAATAATAAAATTGAAAAAAAATAATAAAATTTATTAAGCTTTAGCCACTCAGATTTTAGGAGGACAGAAAATCAAATCAATTAAATAGCACTGGGGGAGTAAGCCCAGTAATGAAATCTCTGGGTTTTAGGACATTTTGTCTGTGTATGGATATCCTTATTTGCA